ACAGATATAAACAATTCACCAAAGTCAAGGTGAGACAACAAAACTTAGTTGTAAGATCTCTGAAATTTTTTACACGGTACAAGTTTTTCTAATTGTTGGAGATTGTATGGTGACAGTAACACCTGTAACTGCTTAACCCATTTCTTATGCACTTTGGTTCGATAAACTCACTGAATATCATACCACATCTCCTTATTTTTATATGCATTACAATTTACATGTGCATGTAATTGTAAATAATATTTATATATATATATCAGAACAAACTTCATTGCATCACTTTTATTTATGCATCCTTTGGCACAATACAAGTTCTAAAATTACACAACATAAAACAACTAAATGTTATTTCAGATGAAAGTTTTGTTTCAGTTCCATTCATAGGATTTATTAGAATTTTGTATGTTTTGACAAGTCCAATAATTAGCTCTATGTGCACGTGTTAATTGGAGACTTTTCTATCCCGTATAAGAGTTTTGGAACTAATTCCGTTTCTTTTTTTGAAAAAAGTGAGCAAACAAATCTTGCACATTTAAACCTTTGTCTGCCATCACACTGTCACCTGGATCACATAATTGAACTATTCTACATCTTTCAACTATTTCACAGTCACTGGTACAACCAACATATGCATTAGAGACATAGTTGACTAAGCCACCAGGTGTCCAACATACAAGTATTTTCAGTGTTTCTGTTTTTATATGATGAAAAGGTTGCCTGAGCTCTAGGAGCTTTAGGTTTTATCACGGGATATTCTGTGCTGTCAATAATAATCCAAGTTGTAGGAAACTTTAATTCTAAGTTGGATGGCGAAAAATACCTGACTAAACCACTAAATGGCCAAGTGTTAGCCTCACACCACTGTTTAGACATAAAAACAATCCATGTTTACACAATATTCTTAACACTAGTTTCAATCTAGAATCTAGACAGTTCAAGGTTGGTTGTATAATGCATCAATTTCATCAAAGTCATAAAAAAACTGATTTTCAAATGACACCCTATCAATTTGAAAATATATGTATCTCAAACAATGTGCTGTTGGACCAAGTGTGGTCAAAACAAATAAAAATTTAGTATACAACTCTAAACCGGTATAAAAATGCATGGCTGTGTCACGTGTCTTCATTTCAAAATTCTCTGCTGAAAATAAGGCATTGATGGTGTTTGCGTAATTCCATCTGTGAAGCTCAACATTAGCTCGGCAGTTGGTGGTGGACAGTCATAAATCCTGTCTGCAGTATGAATTACCTCTTCAGGAAAACCAACTTTACAATCAAAACTTTCCTCTAGATTTCTACTACAATATTCATCAAGTTTAGTTCTTTTGTTTTCACAGGAAACTGCCCTGATTTTTCTTTTTGCGGACGATTCAGTCTCTTGCTTGGTCCAGGAAAATAGGCTTGGATTGGCAGTAGACTTAAGTCTCTGTATGGTGGGTTTGTGCCCTGAAAAAGGTTATAAAACATTAGTTTTTTGATAATTAAATGAACTTCCATTAGCAATGCATACTTTGTACAGAAGCAAGTTAACTCGTACCATTGTAAACTCGTACCACTGGGAAGTCGTACCAATCAGAACTCTTACCACTGCAAACTCGTACCATTAAAAATATATTCAAAAATACGAAAGTTTTATGATTTTTTTTTGTGGTAAACTAAATAAAAAAGTTGAATTACTTGAATTTTATACTAGATTTTAATGAAAACTTAGACAAAAATACGAATGTTTTATGATTATTTTTTTTTAAGCTTTATACAAAAAATTAAAATATCTTTGAAATTTATACCAGATTTTAATGAAAACTTAGGACAAAAATACAAATGTAATTTCTTAATTACCATGCTAATAAATATATTAAATTCCTTTGATTGTGTGATTATTGGTTGATTATTAACTAATCAACTTGTTTTTTTTTATCTTTTACTAATCAACTTGTATAATCATATAAGCATGGTCATATTCTGCTGAAATGTGCTGAATATTGTATAAAAATAAATTTCATACTTTCTAACTGTTGGTCATAAACAATTTTAAACCTTTAAAACACAATCAATAAATTCTTTCATTAAATAAAATTCCTTTTAGAAACAATAGAAAAATACCCAAATCTATTCAATGTTACTGATTTGGAATGATTAAAAACTAAATCAAATAGTTGTCAGTAAAAGTTTAAAAAAGAGTCTATTCAAGGGAGACAACAAAGCCAATCTGCCACGGTTTTCTCTATCCAATTAGACAAGGAAAATTAGCTACAAATTGGTTATTGTAATTTCAAATTATATACATTTTACAGACTTAAGAGGTATTGAGTAAAATTAAAGTATATATTCATCATTAAACACCATTTGAATGCATTTAAATAAGTTGGTACGAGTTTACAATGGTATGAATTTACCGTGGTACGAGTTAGCAGTGGTACGAGTTTGCATTGGAACGAGTTTTTGTTTAGTGGTACGAGTTGACATTGGTACGAGTTACAATGGTACGAGATAACTATAATTCCTTTGTACTCGTAACCTGGCAAAATATTAACTAGATTTATTCATTACAATCTGGATAAAACTATGTTAGCCTGATTCAATGTACATCAAAATGTATGTTATGTAAATCCAAAGGACAAACAATGAGAGAAGTATGCAACAAACATACATTGTTTGTACCTAAATAACTATAATATAGATGAGAGCATGTCATTGTTTTGTTCCTGTTAACATTGTCATTGATATTTTTCAAGAAAGTCTATGAGGCATAGCTTATGCATTCCTGTCATTACTACATAAGCATAATTACTGCTAAAATAATTCTCAGTATGATATACCTCTTGTAAGAAATCATTATAATTGTAGCAAGCACCAAAAAATCTCAAACAGATCACATTGAATCGTAATCCAAAAAATTATGACGTCTTGAATTAACCACCCCCTTTTATTCTAAAACGATAATTGCGGTTGTAAACTGACTTTGGTTTATTTGCATGGCGATTACATATATAACTATATATTTCACAAAGAAAATAGAGTTTTACCATGAATAGTTTCCTGCACGTAGTCTTTTTCAGTAAAACGTGCCTTGCAAACAACAGCTGATTGAGATGGACTCCACGATATCATCGTGTTCTCGTCCAATCTGCGTATGGGCAATGGCGTTGATCCAACTTTTCCTTCTTTTTAAGTCATTTGGAAATGCATGTCCTCCTCTTAAATGACATCCAGGTACACAACAACAAGTACTTGGCATCGTTAATTAAAAATATAACTGAAATAGTTGCACTGTGCAGAAACCGGAAGTTGAGGAACAGGATCCGCTACCACGGCGCCACCTATTCAGGAACGATAATTTGCTACTTTATATAACTGCGAAATAACAATAACGTTAGACGGGTTCACGTGCATAAACAGAAATGCGCTTTAAATTGTATAATATAATTCATGTTCAGTCGACCTTTAATTATTATATCAACGACTGAAATGATTTATAAACATCTAGATTGCAGATAGCACTCGAAATTAACCCGAGCTCTTTCCCACGGAATTCAAATAATTCTAGTTTGTCAATCGGTTGACTGCTTATAATGCAAAATACTTATAAATCAAAAGTTTTTAAAACTAACAAAACACAATGATCGTTTCTCTATTTCCCAATGTAAATGAAATGAGACAAAAAACATTTTATACCACAATAAGAAGAGGAGAGAATCAACATTTTCCGGATCTACTTGGAGCTAAATGACCCCCCACGTAGATAAGTTGGATATCGCGGAAAGAAATATTAACACGGCAACTAGAAAGGCATTAAAGCACTGCCTTTAAAAATGTTGTATTTGAATAGTTACCACCTTGTCAAAGAAAATACCATTATTCATATTCTAATACTTGTAAAATGCTCTGATCATTTGATATATCCCAGGGGCATTGACTGTGATTGCTCAACATTTTTGCCAATGTCTTTTACTGTCTACAGTGGAATTGATGGTAGACTTCATCCAATGAAAACAGGCATTACATGCATACCTGTCAACCTATGACAATGAAAATGCAGGTGATGACCTGCATAGAAGAATGAAATCTCAGGTCATAACGCGTAAAAACATTTTTGAGCTGAATTTCAGTATTTAGGGGACATTTTTCTTATAATTTATATCAAAGTTTCCAAAACATGTCCACATGGTTAAGTAATTTAAAATTGTACATATTATTATTTCATTGCAACTGGAGGCCATTGATAGATTTGTGTTACATTGCCTTAATTCCTGTTCATATTCATTCCATGACATCCAATGTGCCAATTTGTGTTTTCTTAACATACATTTATGCAGCTTTTAAACAGTCGAACATATAATATGTTGATATTAGAGTATAATAAAATAAAGTTAAACAATTAAAGGAGGTATAGATGAAAAAAGTAATTTTCAAAATTTTTTATTTTTTAATTGTTCTAAGGTAGAACAATAAGTAAAAGTATTATTCTGATATGTTTGTGCATTCAGTTCATTTTAGCTTTAATCTTTTTACAAAAAAAACATAAGTTTAAGGAGTATATTGTGAATTGACAAAAAAGGGGAAGTAACTCAAATTGTTTTTAAAACAACTTTGAAATACACAAATTATTTAAGACCTAAAGCTAAGGTAATTGGTGTTAATTAACAGTGTGTTTGCACTGAAATGGGTCAATTGAGCTGAGTTAACACAGCTAGTTGAACCTCTTGTCCAGAAAGAATTACGAATTTGCCGGTATTTCATTGAAATCACTTAATATCTAATCAGTCTGAAGGCTAAGGAATCCGGGTGAAAACGGTTATTTTCCGAATTCCAGGGTTATTTGGTCATCCGGCGGGTGTTCCGGGTGACCCCTCAGAATTGTGAAAACCTCGGGTCACATCCACCAGTCCGGGTCAGTTGACAGGTATGTTACATGACATATAGCATTTGAATCATATTCCATACCTGTTTATACTACATGTATTAACAATCACTGAATTAATAATATGATTAACTGACCTTTCCTGTAGATAATAATAATGGATGGAACTTCATTTACTTTATATTTTAATCTTATTTTTCTGAAAATAGAAAAAAAAAGATATCAATGAATTTGTCCAGCTACATCTTTGTTAATTCATTGACAAATTAGATTTATTAATATCATAAATTCACTGTTGTCTACGCTTTAAGCAGATGACTATAGATATACTTTATTCCATATCTCACAGATGACATGGTTTACTTGGACATAATATTATTAAAATGTCTTCCTATATGTTCATTTTACTTTTACTGTTATATGCCAAGTGTTTCACTGTACAAAAAGCAACACAGCAGAACAAAACAAGCAGATGTGACCCTGTATGTTCCTGTACATGATTATGGGTAAGATACGTGCTAATTCATCATTAGGTTATGCCAAGTATAAATAGCGGAATGCAAATACCTGAAGTAAGATTTGTTGCACAAAGTAAAATTTGTTGGTGATATGAATTGAAAATTTAAGAAAGTCTGCTTGCTCAAATATGTCAGTAATCATGAATCAAGTATAAGAGAAGACAAATTCAGTATAGTAAGCAGATATTGTCGTAGCAGAGATTCCTTATGCAATTAAGAACAAATACATCAACGATGTATAATAGTCACAAAACTGATTTCTTTTCATGTTTACATCTACTGTGGATACCAAATTGACTGACATGTTGAAATTCAGAATTCATTAACAAATTTACAGATATAGATTATTGTTATAATTATTTACATGGGAAATCCAAATATGAAAAATCAGGGAACACAGAGAAAAAATTCCTGGCAGTTACATAATAGTGTATTTACTTACCTGTTATCTCCTGGAGTTACCCCTTACCTGTTATCTCATGGCAGTGACATAATTGTGTTATTCCTTACCTGGTATCTTCTGGCAGTTATTCCTTACCTGTTATCTCCTGGCTGTGAAATAATTGTGTTATTCCTTACCTGTTATCTAATGAATGCATATGACTTATATATGCTTTACAGTTCAAGTTCTCTTCTGTAACCTGAAATATACATACAGATATGTTTAGTATTATCTTATAATTTGAATTATTTCTGCAAGAAAAACTTCTGTTCATTAGACATATGTTGGATTAATATAACAATTACAATACAAGGTATAATTATTTGTTGACATTGTGCTTTGAGCTAGTTTCAGTAAATGTGAATATACTCTTACTTTGGTTCATTGTGGTTTTTTTTTGCCTTTTTGTTAGTTGTTTTTGTGCTACCATAAAATGTTGTGTATAAACCCTTATTTATGCATCATCTGCACACCCTTTTTCACCACTGGAGTTCAGGAATTTTTTTTTATCACTTGGTAAACAACAGTACATTGCATGTTGTATATGATTATAGTTGATAAAGTAAAAAAAATAAATTCCTTTTAAGTTCCTGGCAATAAAATAAAGTGCCTTTATGACATATATAGATCAATATAAACCTGGAAAGCCATTTCTTCAATTTCTGAGTGCCGTGCAGGGTCAGGAAATGCTATCACAGTAAATTTGTAATTGCCTGCAGTTTTTTCCACCAATTGTTCAGTTGCATCTTGTAACTGGTCTTCTAATGTTCTGGCCTATAATGAATTATTCTATAAATAAACAGTTTCACTTCAATCAATCATAGCCCAACAAAACCTTTACATAAATTATAAAAAAGCATTTTATTATCCAGTGTTCTCCAAAACTGTAAGTCCTGTCAGTACTGACACCAATAAACCAGGTAGGTAGGTCTGTCTATTTCCAGTGGTTTGTGTTTCATATCTTTTTGCAGCTCTCAGATATTGAGATAGCATTTGAATTTGTTATGGCGATAACTAAGCTATTGTTGTAATCTCACAATTGAATCAATATTTGTTATGGAACCAGGTGTGTAAATATCATTGCAGCTTCCTCTCAGGACACATGATTCAATATATTACCTTTAAAGCAGACTCTTTAAACATCAAGAGATAAGCCTAGACAAAATTGCCTTTCTATAATGCATGGCCTCAATGTATGGGACCAGTCAATAATGTCAAATGGCTTCATACATACTTGTTGAAACAAACTTGAAAAAAAAATGCCTCTATCCTGAAAAAGGTAGTTTACTAACTCCAATTCAAAAATTTCAGCAGGCAGATGGGTGAAGGAAACATAATATGTCCCTCCATTTTTTGCCAAGGGAGCAACCAATCTGAATGGAGTACGGCAGTCAATATAGAAAACTTCAAGGTATATTCAAGTCAGTGATCTGATATGCATCAGAGGTGATATTGTCTACTGCTAAAATATTCAACTTTAAAAAGACGCCAAACAATCAATCGATCAAATTGCTAAAAATGAATCAGAAATGGACTTTTAACAGGTTAAATGATTTCTTGTTTATAAAAGAGACTTACCAGTCTATCTAACCAATGGTTGATCTTGTATTTATTTGGTTCATCTGTATAATCAAAGTGAGATGTAAGTCCTAGGAAACATCTCAATAATGGAACAGTTGATGGATTTCTATAGTGAAGTTTTGTATTCTGCAATAAATAGGAAGGAATTTTCCCTATCTGATAACAAAACATTTATTACGTCACAGTTCTTTCAGAAATAATTACATATGAATACTGAGTTAATAAACATAAGTAATGCATGTCATGGCTTTCTCTTTGAAATGTTGTAAACATTTCTGAAATGCTATAGAAGGTACTGTGGATTCATTATTTTTGTAAATTTTCCTGAATGGAAAAAAATTTGCTTTTTCGAGGCGATTTAATTTCTTGGTTTCATCATTTGGTCCTAACAAAGTAAATGAAATAAAGAGCTGCACCATGAGCGCATGATACGCCTGTCCCTTTTTCAACGAATAAAGTTCCATAACTCCTCAATGTCATATCAGAAATTTATAAAAAAAACCAAAGGGAGGTTATTTTAATAGATATAAACCAGTCAACAAAGTTTCTTGAAAACTGCTCAAAGCACTTTTGAGTTATTGTCTGAAAACTGGAAAATCCCCCTTTTAAAAAAAAATAAAACTCCATAATTTGGAAACGTAAAATCTAAAATTCATAAAAATCGAAAGGGAGCTTACATCAATAGATATAAACAATTCACCAAAGTTTCATGAACACTGCATAAAGCATTTTTGAGTTATGGCTGAAAACTGGAAAATCCCCCTTTTTTTAATAAATAAAACTCCATAACTTGGAAACGTAAAATCGAAAATTTATAAAAATCGAAAGAAAGCTTACGTCAATAGATATAAACAATTCACCAAAGTTTCATGCAAACTGGTTAAAGCGTTTTTGAGTTATTGTCGGACATGTTGACGACGGACGGACAGAGGTATACCATAATATGTTCTGTAAACGGGCGTATAAACATTATATTTTATTGAATATTTAAATTTGTGGTTTCCTTCTACCTAAAAAATCAAAGAAAAATCGGAATCGTATGAGTACTGTAAATTCAGAACTTAATTTTTTATTAATGCAACTGAGTGAGTATCGCAATAATAAAAACTTGCATTATGATATCTAATACATATATCTGTATGCAGATTTTCCTAAAATCGCAATAATTAATCTCGCATTATTGTCCATCTTTCAAAAATGGCTATAATAAATGCATGCATTAATTTCTGAATTTACAGTATTAACGATTCCACAATAATAAAATATATCATGTTTAATTAAAAAATGCTGCAATATTAGAAGTTTCTTGCTAATTTCTTTTTTGTTTTCTTTTTAATGGCAAATGCTGGTAACTATATAAGTTGTGTCTCATTTTTCATGTTAGCATGGCGTATTGACCATTAAAGTAATATTTAAATCTTACCTTGCCAAAGGAATATGAACCAAATTCCCAAGAAGTAAAATTCTTTTTATCACCTTTCCATAACTCATGTACTACATCCTCTAACGGTGAACCTTCACCTGTTTAATTAATAAAATGTCATTGTAAACATATTGTAAATCAGAATCAATTAATAGTCGACTACATTTGTATCTTATACATGTATCAGCATATTTGGGGTAATCAAACAGTTTTTGTAAACATATTGTTTTTTTAGAAAAAAAAGTCATTGTTATATTTTTCAGTGACCAATTCTTGCTTTAAAGTGATTAAGTGTAAAGGTACATTGTACCAGCACAGACTTCGCCTCTTCTCAACTGTTGAACCAATTATAATGAAACATGGCAGGAATGTCCCTTTTGTGTTCAACTGTTGTATTGACCAAACTAGTGCTATTGATACATTTAATGTGCAAATTTACCAAATAAAATGGTTTTCAGTCAGACGGTTATTTACACAAAATTTAAAAGTTTGGAGAATAAACTATATGTATATTGAAATATTGGCAAATATAAAAGAAATTTGATGAGAATAGGTGAATTGATAGGTAAACACACAGGACAGAACTGATGGGACAAAAAGACATGTATGTAGTTATAGTTGTTTCTTTTTGTTATTTTCCATTTAGGACTTTGGTGTTGACGGCAGATCAGTTCATTTATAACTATTTGTACATAAACACAGTAATTTACAGCTTGACCTAGTTTTTCTTTTCTAATGTTGACATGTACAAAATTTCGGTATGTTGTTGGGTCACTGTCTCAAGGATGCATATAGGTAACTCAAATCTCCTTTTATTTTCATAGGACTTATACATTTACTACACTAAACAGTCAGTAAACAATCCTACCTGGTTTTCTGTATATAACACACACTGGTAAATGTCTTGACACTTTTATATGTCTTTCCAGAACATTTGGTAAAAAATCTTTAAATTTTGGTGAAAGGTCTGCTAAAATATAATTAAAATCAACCTACAGTTAAATAAATAATTTAATAAAAAGGATTAAAGAAAAAAATGACAGAAAAGAAACATTATACACATTAAACATTTTTATCTACCATTGTCCAACAATGGCCCTTGTCAGACAAGTTACATGTATTCTAAACATCATAATACAATAATTATCATAAAACATGCAAGAATAATATTTTTCAGTGAAAATACACAATACACAAAAAAAATAAAGCATGAGCAATATGGGATATTATTACAGTATAAAGTGTGTAGTGTTAGGATGATTTTTTAAAACTAATATATAAAATATACTTATTTAAAGTAAATGATAGAACAAGAAATGTAGTTTCATATTTTGTAGTAGTTCTCCTCTTGACCAAGGCACAGCAGTGAGGAACTTTACATCACCACAATGCAGAGGTCATAAAGGGGCGGTCATTTAGAACCAGCTGCAAATGGTTCTCCTCATGACTAATGCACAGCAGCAAGGGGTTAGACATTGCTACTGTGCAAGATTCATCAAGGAACAGTGTTTTAGATTATGACACATCCTTTTCCATATCAGCCCAGTTATCATCTGGTTACAAAAGCAGAGGTTCCCTGATTTCCTGAAAACTCCCCAAAACTAAATATGAACCAGAGAACCGATAGATATTACCCCAAAACTCTATTTCATATAGTATTTTGCTGCTTTTATAGAGTCTAAGACAATAAAGACTATAATTTTGAGATACATGTCATTTTTACTAAATAAATGTACAATTCAACTTCAGGAATTTGATTTGTGAGTCTTGTATGCAAGTTCCTTGTATAACAGTACAGCAGACACATTTTTCAAAAGGTAGATAACTCTATCTAAATAAAAGAATAAAAAGTACTTCATCATTTTTTAAATTTAAGTTTTCAGATAATGATTACATGTAATATATTTACTTTTGGGAAATGGGTGTACCCCAAAATTAGCACTCAACAACAAAAAAACCATGGTTAGGAGAAATGATAGCCAGTGGAAGTGATGAAGATATTGTCATTATAGTAGAATTTTATTCACTTCCGCACCTGGTCAAATCGGCACCCAGTATATAAAAATAAGATGTGGTATGATTGCCAATGAGACAACTATCCACCAAAGTTCAAATGAAGTGGATGTAAGCAATTATAAGCAACCGTCAATTTGGTACCTATAATATACAAATCTACACCTGGTTAATTCATCATCCGATATAGCATTAGCTATTTCAGAAACTGATGTTTACATTAATTTTTACAAATGAAATTAACACCTAAGTCCTTATAAATTTCCTGCGTCTGGAGTCTGGTAGAGGATGTCTTTCTCTGCCAGATGGTCAAGTGTTCGAATTGCAGCTGGTACAGTAATTACAAAGATATCCAAGACAATGTGATTTTGGATTGTGGTTACATTTGGCACCCAACTATCTAGCAGTGTACAATAATGTAAGTGTGAGAGGATTCCTTCCCTTTGGTATTCGATTCTAAGCCAGCCATATGAGGTTGAGATAGGGAAGTACTTCTTTAGCTCAGTCTGTTAGAGTGCTGACTTGTAACACAGAAGTCCAGGGTATGTATGTATGTACGTAGATCCCTCCTTTATTCAGTGCACCCATCGAGAGCTGGGAGGGTACAGTAGAATTAGTGTACACTGCCTATTAGGACTAATGGAGATGTGTCACTAACTTATTTACACCAAGGACAAACCTCCTACCCAACACAATGGGAGTTTTAGGACACAGGGATGTCTGTTATTATGGCAGAGGAAGCGGAAGTACTCGTAGAGAACCACCAAGCTCCTAGGCAGGAACTGGCAAACTGAAGAGATATCTGAAAATTGATCTCCAGGTCAAAGTCAGGGGCCACTTTGACAAACCAAGGCCCACAATGTAACCATTCTGGTTTAAACTGCGGGCTGGGTACCAGAGATGTGTGTGGGAGGATGGAAATACTAATGTACTGAAATTCCATACACCTTATCGCTATTTGCCCGAAATTACTGGACATCACATAGGTTCCCGTAAAATTTTGACGTCATAATAGAAAATATCTGACGCCACAATGGAAAAGTGATTGTTGTATGACGTCAATAATTCAAGCTGCGCAGATACAGTACATACTGGGACATAGTCTGAAAAATCATCAGCATATTGTATGCCTGGCATTAAATGCTGGGCTTTTATTGGGGGTCATAAATCACAGGCTAGACATAGCGATCCTACATTCCGTCGGCGTCGTCCGCATCCACAAATATTCACTCTGTGGTTAAAGTTTTTGAAATTTTAATAACTTTCTTAAACTATCCTTGATTTCTACCAAACTTGGACAGAAGCTTGTTTATGATCATAAGATAGTATCCAGAAGTAAATTTTGTAAAAATAAAATTCCATTTTTTCCGTATTTTTCTTATAAATGGACTTAGTTTTTCTGCCGGGAAATATTACATTCACTCTGTGGTTAAAGTTTTTTAAATTTTAATAACTTTCTTAAACTATCCTGGGTTTGTACCAAACTTGGACAGAAGCTTGTTTATGATCATAAGATAGTATCCAGAAGTAAATTTTGTAAAAAAATAAATCCATTTTTTCCTTATTTTACTTTTAAATGGACTAAGATTTTCTGCCAGGAAACAACACATTCACTCTGTGGTTAAAGTTTTTAAAATTTTAATAACTTTCTAATACTATTTTGGATTTGTACCAAACTTGGACAGAAGCTTGTTTATGATCAAATGCTAGTATCTAGAAGGAAATTTTGTTTTCTTCCAGTTAACATTACATTCAGTCTGCAGTTAAAGTTTTTAAACATTTATTAGATTCATAAACTATCCTGGATTTTTACCAAATTTGGACAGAAGCTTCTTACAATCAAAAGATAGTATCAAGAGGAATATTTTTATTGATTTACTTCCTCATTTTTGTTGAGCCTGCTATTAACAGAAAAAGTAGGCGAGACACTGGGTTCCGCGGAACCCTTACAAATTTTTTTTTAGGTTAAAGCTCTTTCTTTTATTTCTTTAGTTGTTGTAGCAATCATGGTATTTTTAAATCTTGGTTTTGATGTTTCACCAGTAAATAAAATATTTTTTATATTTATTACATATGAGGGGCCTGATGGGTTATTTTCGTTCTTCGTGATTGGCGCATTTTCGCTATCGTGATCTGTTTTTCTACAGATTCATTTTTTTTTTATATTTTCGTGATCCGTGATCATGGAAATTTAATTTCTGTGAATCGTGATTGACAAAAAAATCAACTCGTGAATCGTGATGAGACCCCCCCCCCCCCCCCCCATCAGGCCCCTCACATATGTCATTAGCAAATATTTCTAGTATAGAAATGTATAATATTTATAATAGTTTAAATTTATTTTCTGGTGTAACAGCATTGTTTATTTAATAATATACTCAAACAAATACAGATAGCTTATAACATTTATCAGGAGCACATATTATATATGACAACGTTAACAAAAACAGATACAAGTAGTAATAAAATAATGCAATACATTTGAATTTTTGAAGTCCAATGTTTGTTACTAAAGAGTTTTCTTCTTCTGTTTTCCTGGAATTGGTCTCCTTAAGGCTTCATTTATCTTTGTCACTACCATCAGCTTCCATGCTTGTTGTTGGGTAACCTTGGGAAAGAAATGGCTGACATACTGTTGTAAATACTGAAGCCTTACTGTATCAAGAGGGTTTTTGTTGTTTTTTGCATCACCATTATAAGAATAAAATCTCCTCAAACATTCAAACGTAAAAAGTTCAGGAAACAACAGTTCAACAATATGCTTGGCAAAATTACCTGGGCCAGAAGATGAGTTAAATTCTCCGAGTAAATCAGTTGCTGCAATCTTATGATCTTATCTTTTGAAGTTTTATAGGTGAAAAATATATTTTATTATTGTTTATAAATATTGCCAATAAATCCCTTCATCCCTCTCGGGTCAAGTGGCACAGATTTCCAATAGCGATAAGGTGTATCGACTATCGGCATCGAACCTGGGACCTTCAGCACTGTAGCCATCGGTCTTAACCACTAGACCACAAACCCACATATCGAGTAATGTAGGAGAAAATGTGATTTTCATAATTTTATTTTTTAAATTAAAATTTTTAGTAAACATGTATATTATTTTAATGTCTATAAACTATGTCTAGTGCTATATCTGTGTCTTTGTAATATTTTGTATCTGTCAAATTCATGCCTTTTTTTATCTTGAATAAATATATATATATATGTAAGCCTCAAATCTATGTCCAGCTTCAAATCTATGTCCTTTCCGCAAATCTATGTCCTTTTTAAATTTTGCGTCATAGACGTTCCAAATTTATGTCCTTTATTGTCTCAAATCTATGTCTTTTATTGTCTCAAATCTATGTCCTGTATTGTTTCAAATCGATGTCCTTTATTGACTAAAATCTATTGCCATTTTTGTCTCAAATCTATGTCTTTTATCGAAATGGGGTGACGTAAGACATAGCAAGACGTCATAAAGTATAATGAAACATTGAACAAAACGTTTGTAAATCGGTATGTATTTAAAGCTTACGATACAGAATAGCTTTAATTCATTGTTGAAGGCCGTACATGTAAATTTAGTTGCTGTTATACAGATGTCATTTTGTCTCAGTTTGTTTATTAACTTATATTTCGTATTTGTTATCAAGACGTAAAGAATAAAGTGAAGTAACGATTATTACTACAGAAACAATTAAACACGGGATCAAGAAAAGCAAACAATTTGAAAATGTTGTAGTTTTACAATAAGATGTAAATCATACAATAAATACACACGAATGTAAATTTTAAGCACACACATCATGCACATGGAGAACATATCCCAACTTAACACTGAATTATGGGAAATGACTGTATAAAATCAAAAATCCTATAAGGCCGTACTTATTAGCAAAACAAACTGGAAAAAGATTTAAGAAAAGGACACAGATTTGAGGCCGTATCTTTTTTAACGGGCATAGATTTGCGAATCACGTCACGATTGAAAACAAATTTGAAAATAGGACAAAGATTTGAGGCCGTATCTTTTTTAACAGACATAGATTATCGAATGACGTCACGATGGGACACAGATTTGAGAAACGGACACAGATTTGAGGCCGTACAAGATCTGAGGTTTACATATATATAATCACTATACTATTATGCCAGCTTTAGCTGGCACTTATGGTAGAAGCATCGAATTGGAATAAAGAACGATAACTCTCTCTACATGATCAATCTAAAAAGTTTCGTCACTCTCGTTAAATCTCGTACAATTTTTTTTTTTTAAATTTCGAAGTTGATCAAGTCAAGTTATCTAACTCTTAAAATTTATTTTTTCTTTTTTTTTTCATTATATTTATTAAATAAATATTGTATTCTTGCTTGGCTACAAATATAAAGTCAATTCTTCAAATAATGAAAACGGAATTAGCATTGGAATATCCGTCAGGACATTTTCAGGACATTAGTTTAACCCTTATATTTTTAATGGCTGCCAGATTCTCGTTTAATCGCGATCTTGAAAAACGGGACAAAACGGAATAAATTCGCTGTTTAATACGACAAGAATTTTTATTTGTTTACAAAAACAAGAATTTAGAAATTTTAGTAACCTGTGTAGTTTATTTAAATTTTTTTGTTCCACGGAAATAACCGAAGTTTAGACAACAACATCTTACGCCATGTTTCAGTTTTATCGTCTGCTTCATCTTTCCATCATCAGTGACAAATTTCCTAAATAACCACAGGTACTTCATTTAAAAGTTACAATATCATAATTTATGATAACATTAGTAGTGTAAAAGTTCCGTCCAGCCATGGGAACACAGAAAAACCCTTTGCAAGCAATAAATTTCGAGAGAAACGTTAACGTAGCCGGAGGAAGTAAAATCCGGTGCTCTGCCTTTGCCAAAAGGCTTTGGTTGACCATGACCACTATTGTTCATCTGCTACAGAATTTCCCAGACCCATATCAAGTTACAGTGATAATGAAGTTGGTTATACTGTTGAATGTGATCACGGTTATTCCTGTAGCTCACAGACAAATGCAGGTGAAATTCAAAACTTAACAAAAGTTTTAAACAAAGAAAATATATACTTTCACTATCTGTAGACTGTACTTCCTTTGACAAACTCTCAACAAATCTTGACATTAATTATGACACATATCTACCTTAAACAGTCCCAGGAGTTTCATCATAAATTAAAACAGCTGTAAAAGGAGACTTGAGTCTGAGTCAGAGTGATACATTTATAGGTACATATATATTGTATGCACCCATATTGTCCAAAATAGGATTTTATGGGAAGATGGAGTTATAATAACCCATGATAATACCATGACTTTTGATAGGTATAGAGCATGTTACTTGGAAGTATGTGGGCTACATCCTTTGAAATTCAAGCTTCCGACACATTATTTGGATGCAATATAAATAATTGCCTCCCGCAGTCCCCTGTATATTTCATGCGTCAGTTTAAACCTGATCAAAACATTTTCCCTCTACTGAATACTTTTATCAGGTGCACATTTCAACCTATTAAAGCAATAAACACTTATGGCTATAACGTTCCCAAATTGCACCGAGTACCCAATTTGCACCTATTCAACAAAAATAACTGGGGAAATCTTACAAGTTTTCTTTGAGACTAAACAATTTGTATTGTTATGATTTGACAATATACATGTCTTTTAACATCTGTTAATATATTTAGATATACACAAATCGTTCACAATGAGAATATATCAACAGATGAAGCATTCCCGGGAAAAAGTAAATCTACGAAAACGTCAGTGTTGTCACCATGCGAAGTTATCTAATTATCATCTTTTAAAAATGTTAGCAATTTCAAAACTACAATTTAATTTTCATGACCAAAATAAAATAAAGTACAAACAAAAAAGCAATAAAATGCTTCGCCAATCACAACCTGATACAACCACAGATGTAGATTTAGCATATAAAAAACACCAAAAATTTTATGTCAGTTGAAATCAAACATATTTTAATTTTGGACCCTTCAAACTTTAATATGGACTTATTTGAAAATGGGTATCATGTGAGCCCGAACATTTCTATTCAGCAGCAGTCTCCAAGTACATATCTCCTTAATTTTATATGATAGTCCCACAAAAATGTTGAAAATGTGTACATTTAATTTTTTTTTCTAGATTCTCTCATGTCATACATGTGAAAGCGGTACCTTTTTGGTCACTATTTATGTGTTGCGTCTAAATATGAATTGTAACACTTTATAGTGACTGACCAGGTCAAACAAATACTTCTCAAGAAACATGCAGAGAAGAAGACAACTTGAACAGCACCAGCCATGCCAGACTATGTATGAATAAAAACTCAGATCGGAATAGCATGGACGATATGTTAGTTATATGTCCTAGTGAATTGTAAGGGAAGCTATCGATAATTCTGCAGATAACGCAATTTTATCACTGAGGTTTATTGTACATTTTCTGTTCAAATTTTCACACAATCAGTGAATCGTCCAAAAAGGCTAAACTAACTTTTTATTACCAGCTGATTACTAAATGTTTCAAACAATGACAAGTGTTTCATTCATGAAATAACTTGTGCGTTTCTGCGAAAAAAATCATGTGCAATTTTATGAATTAAAGGGAAAGAAGATCCTTTTGCGGTGCACTCGTGCATGTCAATTGCGAACTGACCCAATATATTTTCTTTATCATGACCAGTTCACTGATACTGACGTTGACATTATCAAGAAGTACACATCAAAGGAAAAATGCACAGATTACCGTTAAAATAATTTACACACCCTGTTTCGTGTGTATCACCTGCCATATCAGTATTTGTTGCATTTATATATAAATGAGAAATAATCAATGTAAAAATGGTAAATATTTGGAGAAAAAGACCCAAAAAAAATGTTGTTTTTGACCACTGACTCCTAAACTGTTGGTACAATAATTACGACAACCCCCAAAATCAATTCTAACCTTCCTTTTGTGTATTGAAGTTGAACCTTCTGGTACAATTTCATACATTGTCATAGAGATCCATTTACTTAAACTAAAGTTATTGTCCAGAAACCAAATGTGCCTTCGGACAACAACAGTGACATGATTGCATTACTCGAAAGCAAATTTTTGACATATTCCCCATTTCCATTCTGAATTTTATTTTGCCGTCGTATAAAAACTTGAAAAGTAAGCTAATAAAACAAAATGCAAAAATGACATAAAACTGACTCTGAATAAGTACATGAAATTGATGTAGAAACCCACAAACAGAAAATGATCAGGAATACATTTATACTGCTGAGCAGTGTTCTCCCCTCAAATTTTAATTAGCATCCCAGCAAATAGCAAAATCTTTAGATTATCAACTTAACAATCCTATTTATGGTTCCTTGTGCTTAGATCAAAATGAAAAACCTGATCAAAACATTCTTCTAAACAGGCTCACTGTAAATTCAAACTCTTCTTTTTTAACAATCAGAATGATCCTCTTGCTGATTACATATATATGAGATGCAGGAAACTGGGAATACAATATGAACAACCAGCTAATTTAGAAAGTAAAAATAATTCAACAAACAGAAAGCGTTGTTTGCAATATTAAATAAAAAAAACCGCTACAACTTTTAGATAATGATATTGATGAAAAAGATATTCCAAATCCTCCACCTTTTCATGAAAATCAACAAAAAATTAATTTAATAAAGTTATGGATTGTATAACTGTACAGTATTCATAGTTTGGTAATTAAACAAATGTCTAATTGTTTTAAATTTTGTAAAATTTGCAAAGAAAGAAAAATGGATATGAAAATGCACAAGATAATGAATGTAAGCATTGTCATTTATATAAATCACCAATAAATTCATTTTCAGCAGAAAACAATAAGGGAGCAACCATTTAGCTTCAAAGGGGGGGGGTATGGTTTTTTGTTTGAGTCAGATTTTTTACACGTGAAGCACTTCAATGCTATCAATCAACATTATTTAGTCAAAATATAACACTAGAAGGTATGGGGAAAATCTGGATTCAGAATATTTTTTTTTTGTCCTCTGCTTGAACAGAGTATTTTTTGTCATTAATTTTTAAAGAAAAATACTAGTCCAAATAATTATGACGTCCAGGAAGGCTATTTTAAATTTTTGCTTTGATGCTTCCTGCGACACACCAAAAAAAAAATACCATACCTCCTTCTGCCTTTTGAAGTTCAATGATCTTTCCCTAAACATTTTCCATCTAAACTTATTATTTTATTTTAGACAAAAACTATATGTAGGACATTAGTCCTGAACATGCATGAAATATTTGCCACTGGGCTTTCAGCAAACCAACAATCAATATATATGTAGGACATAGTTTTAGTAAGCTGGCATTCAAGGTAGCGCCTTCCTCATATTACTAACATGACTATAGTATGAAATTATGCATTAGCCATTACGGTTACATTTGGAAGGCAAATGGATAATGGCAATGTTTTTGATATAAAAATCCCAATTTAGTGTATCTAGGAAGTTTAGTGCAATGTACACTGAATAAACTTACTCGACGTGGCTGCAGACTGTACCAAAAACAAAACAATAATTTTTGAAAAGCCATAGCGTCGTTCGCAACCCGCCATATTGTGCAAGTGCCATCTAGCGTCAAAAAAGCGAACTTCAATTTAAAACGTATAAAACCAGCACCTGCATCCCGTAACCTTACCGTATTGTCCAATGTCTATGAGAAAATAAAATTAAAATCAAATTTTATAGATTTATGGCACGCTACACAGCTTAAACATTCAAATGGTAAACTTTGAACTTATGTGACATTTAAATCAAGCTTTGGAAGAGAAAAGTATATTTCAATGATGGCAGGGCAGTTTTGAGTCTGAGCCAGAATTTATATAATAAGAAAGAATTTCATCACACCCTTAAGAATTGAGACAGGAAGGTATCAGAGAACTGTCCTAAACGACAGAACCTGTAATTGTTAAATGTAGAGGATGTACATCAATTTATATTTCAACATGTTACATTTGATGATGATGGCATTCGGCATATTTCAAGAAATAATAAAAATTTACCTTAATTTTCTAGATCTTAACGGCAAGGGATAAACTGATATGGTTTTTGAACATAGAAGATAAATCCATTTTTACTGCTGTTGTTAAATCAATTACTTAAAGGGTTGATCTTGTCCGGGCTTTCCTGTCTTCTTTAGACTCAATGGTGACTGTGTGAGATTCTACACTTAGTATTTTGAAGCTCACAGTTCAGGGAACACCGTCCCTTAGTGCCTGTTGCAGTAGGGAGACATACAATATTCCCAAAAACTACACGGCAGTATATGTTATTTGCTGTGAATGACATTGAATCATTTTGTTACCTTGATATAAAATAAAGAGATGTGGTATTATTGCCAATAAGATAGCTATCCACCAGAGACAAAATGACGTAGATACACCTTATGACCTTTAACATTAAGCAACACCCATATCGCATAGCAAGCTATAAAAGGCCCCGGCATGGCAAATGTAAAACAATTCAATCGAGGAAACAACGGCCTGATTTATGTACAAAAAAACAAATAAACAGCAACAAACGACAAAAACAAGCGAATAACAGACTCCTGACTTGGGACAGGCACATACAGAATGTGTCGGGGTAATACATGTTTACGGACACCAACCCTCATCTAACTTGGGACAGTGGAGTAACAGAACAACATAAGAACAAACTATAAAAAGCAATCGAAAAGGGTTTGACCCATCAGATCGATACAAAGCACAAAAAAACAAATAACAAACTCTTAGGATACAAAGTATTGAGATGAGAGTACTAACAGCTACTGAAAGCTAGTTTAAAGCCAATAGCAACTAAAAAATCATGTAATCTAGACAAAATATCAATCAGTACACATCCAATGTATTTATTGTAAAGATGTCACGAACAGTCTAAGAAAACACGACATTATTTGTGCAATGCAGAAATATAAGTATCGTCAGGATGTAGAACCGTAAGTTTGAATAACTGTATAGCAATAAAATTGAGAATGGAAATGGGGAATGTGTCAAAGAGACAACAAACTGACCAAAGTGCAGAAAACAGCCGAAGGCCACCAATGGGTCTTCAACACAGCGAGAAAATCCCGCACATATGTTAAAATACATATTTAGTTATGTTTTAAATCATTGATAACAACATCAATGTTAGTGCCGATAAAGACAACATTTAAGGATCTTATTACAATGTTAAATTTGTTTCTCTGCATCAAGTACGACGGGATTTGCGAGAGTTATTAAGTCCACAATCCTAGAGCATCGTCCCTTGGTGCCTGATTCATGCTCTGTTTGCAACCTACCATTATCTCTTTTCATGCTCTTGTTTTAAACCTACTATTATTTCATCCATGCTCCTGTTTTCAGCCTTCCATTATCTCAATCATTCTCTTGTTTTCAACCTACCATTGTCTCATTTATGCTTTTGTTTTTCGCCTGACATGGTCTCATTCATGCTCTTTTTTTTCAGCCACTACCATTTGTTCGTTTGTGATCTTATTTGCAGTCTACCATGATATCATGTATGCTCTTGTTTGCAGTCTACTTCTATTTCATTCATACTCTTTTTGCAATCTACTATTATGTCATTCGTATATTGTTTGCAGCCTAACATTATCTTATTCATACTATTTTTTGCAGCCTATCATCATTTCATTCATGCTCTTGTTTGCAGTCTACCATTATCGCATTCATGCTCTTGTTTAGAGCTTCCAATTAGGTTGTTTAAGCTCTTGCTTCCCATTATCTCGTTTATACTCTTCTTGTAGCCTACCGTTTTCTCGTTTATGCTCTTGTTTGCAGTCTGACATTACTAGTATCTCGATCATTTATTAGTTTGCAGCCAATCATTAGCTCGTTCATGTTTTTTTTTTGCGGCATCCCAATATCTCGTTCATGCTCATGTTTGCAACCTACCATAATCTCATCCATGTTCTTGTTTATAGTCTCTCATTATCTCATCCATGTTCTTGTTTACAGTCTCTCATTATCTCATTCCTGCTCTTGTTTGGAACCTACCACTATCTCATTCATGCTCTTGTTTACAGTCTATCGTTATTTCATTATTGCTATTGTTTGCAGTCTTACATTACTTCGTTCATGCTCTTGTTTCCAGTCAACCATTATCTAGTTCATACTTACCTTTGCAGCCTATGATTGACTCGTTCATGCTTTTGTTGGCAGACTACCATTAGCTCGTTATGTTCTTGTTTGCAGCCTACCATTAGCACGTGTATGTTCCTGTTTACAGCCTACCATTAACTCGTTTATGTTCTTGTTTGCAGCCTACCATTAGCTCGTTATGTTCTTGTTTGCTGCCTACCGTTAGCTCGTTATGTTCTTGTATGCAGAATAAGCCCGTTTATGTTCTTGATTGCAGAATGAGCTCGTTTATGGTCTTGTTTTTAACCTACCATTAGCTCGTGATGTTCTTGTTTGCAGCCTCCCATAAGCCTGTATATGTTCTTGTTTGCACCATTAGCTCGTTAAAGTTCTTGTTTGCTCCATACCATTAGATCGTGTATGTTTTTGTTTGCACCATTAGATCGTTAAAGGTTTTGTTTGCTGCATACTATTAGCTCGTTTATGTTCTTGTTTGCAGCCTCCCATAAGCCTGTATATGTTCCTGTTTGCACCATTAGCTTGTTAAAGTTCTTGTTTGCTCCATACCATTAGATCGTGTATGTTCTTGTTTGCACCATTAGATCGTTAAAGGTTTTGTTTGCTGCATACTATTAGCTCGTTTATGTTCTTGTTTGCAGTCTCCCATAAGCCTATTTATGTTCTTGTTTGCGCCGTTAGCTCGTTAAAGTTCTTGTTTGCTGCCTACCATAAGCTCGTTATGATCTTGTTTGCAACCTACCATTACGTCGTTATGTTCTTGTTTGCATCATTAACTCGTCTATGTTCTTGTTTGCAGCCTATCATTAGCTCTTTATTTTCTAGTTTGCAGCATTAACCCGTTTATGTTCTTGTTTGCAACCTACCATTAGCTCGTTATGTTCTTGTTTGCAACCTACCATTAGCTCGTGATGTTCTTATTTGCAACCTATCATTAGCTCGTGATGTTCTTGTTTGCAACCTCCCATAAGCCTGTATATGTTCTTGTTTGCACCATTAGCTCGTTAAAGTTCTTGTTTGCTCCATACCATTAGATCGTGTATGTTCTTGTTTGCACCATTAGATTGTTTATGTTCTTGTTTGCAGCATTAGCTAGTTTATGTTCTTGTTTCAGCATTTGCTCGTATATGTTATTGTTTGCAACCTACCATCGATCAGCTCGTTTATGTTCTTGTTTGCAGCATGAATTTTTGTATGTGTTTTTGTTTGCTGCATACCATTAGCTCGTTATGTTCTTGTTTGCAACCTACCATTAGCTCGTTTATGTTCTTGTTTGCAACCTACCATTACCAGTGGCAATTAGATCTGCATACGATGGTTGCTACACTTATTATTTTCTAGATATCAATTTCAGTTAATTTTAGTTTTACAGAATCAAAACAAAAATTTTGTAAAAATATGTTAACATTTTGTAAAATGCCTTCAACAGCAACAAGCAAATAACATTACAATCTTCATGACAATATGTAAAATTTATGACTACACAATTTTATATAAATATAAAATATCAGTATGAATTGACAACTTTCGGATTTTGACCCTGTGCTCATATACGTACTATTGGTGTTTTCCATCGACATAATTTATGCAACCAAATAAAAAAAATCCAATTGTTACTTTATTTTTTTTTCGCAAAGCAACATTATTTACTTATTTGACATATAAATCTATAACTTGTTGTTTTCTTTTACCAGACCGTAATCTAGCGAACTTCTAATAAATTGAGTCCATGCTCAAAATGTGCCAAACGTTAAGGAGTTTCCGGCTGAAATGATATAAATACTTGCCATCAGTTTTCTCATATACTAAATTACTAATCTTTAATTTACATTAAATACTTGTGTACATTACTTTATTTATCATAATTTCTCTTGTCAGTTGTAATCTTTTAAAGATATATACATGTATATATAATATAGTGGATTTGTAAAAATCCTGAAGAAACTTCGGGAGTTTTGTAAAAATCACTAAATTGATTAGAAATTTATAAAATTCCTTCTTTTGACTTGGGATTTTTTTTCTAAATCATTGAAATAGTTGAGAACTTTTTTACAGATTCATCTGGAATTTAGAAGAAGTAAAAATCTTTTTTAAAACACTCTGGATGCTAAATGGTGGACTTGATATCCCAAATATCTTATGTAACACCGACTCTATTGGAATGAGGCAAACCTTATAAAAGTGGATCTAAAAAAAATATCAGTAAAATATCATTTTCAGTCTCAAACTGCATAGTTAAACTTAAAAAATAGTAAAGAAAAAAAAAAGAAGAAAAAAAAAAATACCTTCACCAAAGTACTTGTTATAAGACGTGCATTTTAATAGCAAGGTTGTCATCGAGACTAAAATAGATCAATTTGACCATTGAAAAAAATGTAAATTCCTAGGGGTAGGTTGATTTGTATGATTCGTATCTTTTTGTCAAGCATTATAACAATTACATTGTAGACATTGGTGACG